GCCATGGTTATATATCATAGGCATTTAGCTACAGGCAATTTTTTTTCAAGTCCCATTATGACTTTGCAGGCAACTGCCTGAATAATTATTTTCCTGATTTGATTTATATTATTGAATTTTAATATTTAGAAAGTCGTTTTGATTTACAGTTTTCTTGAGAAGAGGTTCTAGGAGAGTCTCCTTGAAGATATCTGGCTTATTAGTATTCATGTCAAATTGATTTGCATGTACAATGTAAAACTCGAGTATGAAATAGACATTGACAAACATAATATGCATATATTTCGAAAGATAATGCTGTGCTCTAAATATAGAGGCTGAATGAATGTTCTTTCCTACAGTGTTTTACCGAAAATCATAAAGACTGGTTTTGCTGCAATCAACCTAATATACTTCTTCACAGCTGGGCCAGATGAGGTATAGTCTGAGCTATTAGATTGTTGTTTGTACCTCATTTATCACTTTTTTATTCAACATAATGTTTTGACAGTGATCAATCATGTATTACTACCAAAATTTTCTATCAGACGTCTGTCTTTTTCCTTGTGATGAATGTTTGGCAAATTACAGGTGAAGTGTTGGCAAATCAGACGGCAGACAAAAGCCCCTCAAGCAGCTGGTGCTATTCACACTGATTTCGAAAGAGGTTTCATTTGTGCCGAGGTATGTCTTTGTCATACTGCAGCTCATGTCACAAAATCCAGTTTGCGAAACACATTCGTTGTTACTGTTCTACTTATGCTCTAATTATAGGTCATGAAGTTTGATGATCTAAAAGAACTTGGCAGTGAATCAGCAGTCAAAGTAAGCACCTTTTACACACTATAGTTGGTTAGATAAGTCTACCCTGGACAGTTAACTGTATGTCTCTTTTTGATGATGCATCTGTCAATCTTATAATTTCCTACTACAGAATCAAAAAGAAAAAGACATAATTCGTCAACAACTTTTTTCTTGATGTTGCAGGCTGCTGGGAAATATAGGCAGGAAGGAAAGACGTACGTGGTTCAGGATGGGGACATAATCTTCTTCAAATTCAACGTTTCCGGTGGCGGGAAAAAGTGATGTCTGTTTTCGAAGGATGATTGCTTTCTTCATATCCTTATTCGGACGGCAAATTGTAAGAATATTGGAACGATAGGTAGCCTACTTATTTAATCGTTTTGAGCCTTTTTATCTTTTGGATGTGTGTGTTATCTCACTATCACGCTTTGGATGTAGAATCAAAATCAACAGTCAGTTGCAAAATCAAAGCACCAAAGTGGTGGATTGAATCAGTCATAACATTCAATTCTTTTGGTTGTTAAGTCGATGTTATCATGTTTAGTTTGCAAGAAGATCTATTTCTCCTCCTTGGCATCATAGTTTACTATGTGGGTACGGACATCGGCTTGTTAAGTCAATGTTATCATGTTTAGTCATATTTCTATAGATGACAATAGTATTGCATTCTTATGATGCTCAAAATTAAGTAAGGGGAGTCAGAATTTTCTATTAGGTTGTTCGACAATATCTTGTGTCCTCGTAGTTTTTATCAATTTTATTAATACTTTAGAATGAATGACGGTGAATAACCGAGTGCATCATTGTCTTGCTATCGGAAGCTCTATATAGTCTTGTGCCACTTGAGGTTTTAGGGTGTTGAGATGATGGACATTTCGCGCTATTCAACATGATTGTTGTGACATGTGAAAACAATCCAAAACTTATCCAAAATAGAGCATTTTTTTTACTTTGTAAGCAATATTTTATGTTGTTCATTGTGATCATTGCATCACACAAAAACAGTCCAAAAAAAGAAAGGAATCCATCTCATCTGTGATAATATATAATTAGAAACGATTCAATTTTTTAGGTAATATATAATTTATTTTTTTGTTAAATAAAAAGAGAAAATAAGTTCCAAAGTGAAGGAATCCATCTTTGTGGATCGCAGTCTTTGTCAGGTGTACGTCATCTCCAGTGACTCATATCGTGATCATTTAGTGTTCGATGCATCATTCGTGCATCGAGGACAGCTTCGCCGTACCTCCATGCACCCATCCATGTCGCCAGATCCAGCTAGCTGGCCTTCGAGAGCCGTACTCTCCTCCTCTCCTGGTCAAATAGAGAGAGAGAGAGAGAGAGGGGGTTGGAGACAGTAAAGAGAGATCTAGATTTGGAGAACGACACAGATCTCAGGGCACAGACACCATGCAACCCGAAGGCACCGGCACGAATGTGTATCACGTCACAAGCACTTTCCTCAACAACCATGGCATGGACTCGCCGATCACAATCGCTTTCTTTTCCTTTTCCCCTCTTTTTGATGCGGTGAATAGTGTCTGATTTGATGTCGGTAACAAGACGTCGGGCTGTCAAGCGGATAGATCCAAATCTCGATCGAGCTCGTCAGCGGTAAGAATCTGAGAATGTCGAGCTGCTGCTTCCATGGCTTCTCCTCCATGGATGGAACCTGCATGCAGCACTGCAACATCTACTCCACCCGCACTATAGCTCGTAGAATCTTTACTGCTCGGAACCCTAATGAAGTTAAGGGACCTAAAAGGACGAGCCTAAACCACACCGTACCAGCAATGATTCGTCTTCCCCGGCCGACAGAACCCCACGCGCAGATGCCGGTAGATCTCACCTTGCTGATGCCGATGATGGGCCATGGTCTTATTTGTGCACGTCATGTGCCCACAATAAATGCCAAGCACGGCTGGTGCCGACGTACCACCAGGTAGAAATTAACTCCCATGATTTGTGGATCGGTGGAATCGATGGGTGCAAACTTCCTCGTGAAAATGGTTAGTTGACTCTTCATCCCTTGGTCAACAGCACTAGGACGAAGACTCGAGAGCGTAGTCAACGGTGTGCACGAGAGCCTCGGCAGTCCATTGGGCGAATCCAACACCGTTTGGAATTCTCAGGGGATGATCGATGCAGACGAAATGAATGAGAGAGAGAGAAAGAAACTGTTCTGATGCATGCTGCGTCTACTGTTCACAGTGTTGCTGCTGCTTACACTGACAGCAGTGTGTGTGGTAGCCACTCCACCACTGAAGTCTGATGCAGAAACCGTGAAGCACTCTGAAGTTGATGTGAAGTAGCTACTCAGATCATGCGAGATAAACAATGTTATCTACCTGATCTTGCACGAGTTCATCAAACAGAAGGGATTGCTACCCCATACCTAAAGCTCAGGTCCTGTGGACAACAAGAAACATGAACCTTTGAAGGGTCAGAGAGAGAAAGCAACTCCCAGAGGAGAGAGAGGCATGGGATTATTACCCCATACCTAAAGCTCAGGTCCTGTGGACAGCAAGAAACATGAACCGAGAAAGGTCAGAGAAAGCAACTTCCAGAGGAGAGGCGTGAGACGTGGGAGGATGATCCATCATCTGCTACAGTTCACGACAAACATCTAGTTAGGTGAGGAACAGCACCATCATTGCAAAACCTATGGCATGCTCTTATGTGATGCCACCAGCCCTCACAGGAGTCATTAAGAAATCAAACCATGCTTCACAGTACCACAAGGCCAATATACAATTACAAAAGAAGAAAGAGAGAGAGAGAGTCCTGCCCAGTCCTTAATGTCACAAGATCATTGTTTCTTTCATGGCCATCGAGCACAGCTTGTACCAACCTTCAATCTCAGACAAAGGAAGCATAACCTTTTGATGGGTGGCCTTTAAATCTCCATTCATCATCTCCACCTACCTCGATCAAATGATTGCAGTTTTGCCTAGAGGATTAAGAAATCATCCCAGTGTAGGGTTGAAGCACTGCACATCATGTACCAGTTGGCTTTATGTGTTACATGAACAAACAGAGCCTGGAATCCTGTTGAAGACCCATCCATGGTTAGTGCTCCAATACAGGCTCATACATAGACTTTCAACTAACTAAAAATTAATTGACATCTATTCCAAGCTTGTGAGTAATCAGATAGAACAGGAATCAAACCCCCAAGAAAATGTTGTCATTGTGGATGGTGGTGGCTGTGGGAACACAAATGTGATGGGAAGAAAGAGTGGTTCTCAAATGACACATATCTTGGAATTAGAAGAAGAAGATCTTATCTGCAGGTAGATAAACTCCAAGGCTGCAGAAAGGAAAGAACCACAAGGAATAAAGTGGCTGGTCCTCATGGAGTAGTGGACACACTCTACATCTAGTTTGCAACTTCAATCCTCCTCAGACAAGTGGAATTAGCCCTTTCACTTTAAAGCTTAATCTACCACCTAGAAAAAAACACTCATCTGACACACCAAATAAATAAAAATCATCAGAAATATGCAACAAAATCTTGAGTTATTCACATCTCATGGTAGAGGTTTGACATCAAGCACTGCATGCACTGAGATTGTCTCAAAGCTGTCATTTATGGATAAGTATTATTATTATTTTCACAAACCAGGAATTGTTGCATCTTTATATTTTCCATATATGTGATATCCATCAAACTATTTTCCTGATATGATAAAATTAATAATTGGCTGTAAACAAATTATATTCGAAGCAAACACAAATAATAATACTTTAATTTATATTTATTTAGGATAATTCCTTTTATTCTTTTCTAAAACTCCGAGCATCTATTTGGGGCATTGCCGATTCGAACGCTGCGATTTAATCGCACCAAACGTTCACCGACTCGCCCGTGTCCCACGTCAGCCCGACAGCATCTCCGATGCCATCCCCACCACCCGTTCGTGCCCTTCCCCCGCCCCACCTGATTCACCCACGTGGAGGCAGGCCTCAGCGAGCCCCTGTTCCCTTGCGCAATCCTCGCCGATGTTTCGCTGCCTGGGCCCCACCGCAGTGATCCCTGAAGCCATGCGGTCGTAGGCCCCGCCGTGGCCCTCGATGAGCACCGTCCATCTTCCATCGTGCGTCCTACATCGTCCCGATCATGGATGGCGGTGGAAGTGCGTCGGCGTAATGGGAGGGTGCTTTCTTTTGACCTGAGCTGGGTGAGGTTAACTGGCGATTAATCGGCCGGGCCTTAGGGCCATGGGGCGTCACTAGCGTGCGCACGGTCGCGTTGCTAAGCTGCGCCGGTCGCCTCCCGCCTATAAAGAACCCCCGGGGCGAGGGGACGGGAGACCTCGCCGTCATTCCGACGCCTCTCTTTTCGGCTTAAGCGGCGCGGTCGCCGAGAAAAGAGGAAAGAATCTTAGCCGAGTTTAGTGGGCACCTTTCTTTGCTTGTGGCACGACGGACGATGTCATCGGCGGCTGCTTGGATGGAGCCGAGCCTGGACGTGGACAAGCTGAGCTATGAGATCTTCTCCATACTGGAGAGCAAGTTCCTCTTCGGGTACGACGACCACAAGGTCTTCCTCTCCTCCACTCCCGCCACCCCCGTCGCTGCCGGCCTCCGCCACTCCTCCGCCGGCAAGGTGCGCATTCTCTCCATCGATGCCGCCGACGGCATTCTCGCCGGCGCCGCCCTCGTCCGCCTCGAGGCCACCCTCCGCAAGCAGTCTGGGGACCCCACCGCCCGTGTATCCGATTTCTTCGACCTGGCCGCCGGATCCGGCGCCGGGGGTGTCCTCGCCGCCCTCCTTTTTACCCGCGGACCCGACGGCCGTCCCCTCTTCTCGGCCGCCGAGGCCCTCCGCCTCCTCGCCAAGCACCGTCGCCGCCTCGCCTCCGGGACCCAGCGTAAGGGCCTCCTCGGAGGCATCCTCTGCCGGTCGGGGGGGCTACTCCGTCGGGTGTTCGGGGACGCGACGCTGCGGGACACCCTGAAGCCGGTGCTCATCCCGTGCTACGACCTCTCGACGGGGGCGCCCTTCGTGTTCTCACGGGCGGACGCCGTGGAGGCGGACGGTTACGACTTCCTGATGGAGGAGGTGTGCGCCGCCACGTGCGCGGACGCTGCGGCCGGCGCGGCTGCAGTGGAGATGCGCTCGGTGGACGGCCGGACGCGGATCCGGGCGGTCGGGGGTGGGTTGGCGATGGGAAACCCCACGGCGGCCGCCATCACCCACGTGCTCAACAACCGGCTCGAGTTCCCCGTCGCCACCGGGGTGGAGGACCTCCTCGTCGTCTCTCTCGGCGGCGCCGAGGCACCGGCCGCACCCGGGAAGCCCGCGGCGCCGCTCTCCGCGGAGGCGCTATCGAGGATCGCGGGCGGAGCCCAGGCCGACGTGGTACGGACCCCATCCCTTAACCGCCGTATAATTCCCCTTAGTTCTTCACGATAATACGCTGGCAATCGAGAAAAGATCACAATACCCTTAAAGAGAGCGAATCATCAGATCCCTCCCGTTTAAATATACAGCATTTAGGTCATTTGATCGAAACCATGCATTCCTCAGGTGGATCAAGCGGTGGCGATGGCGTTCGGAGAGAAGCGGGCGACGAACTACGTGCGGATCCAGGTGGGTGCGACGAGCGCTTAATTTACCTAAATGCCCGGATCTAATCGATGGGGGCATCGCAGGGGTACAAGGCTGCGCCGGGGACGACGGCCGCGGAGGAGACGCTGACGGAGAGGGGGGTGGAGTCGGTGCTGTTCCGGGGGAGGAAGCTGTCGGAGCTAACCAACGGGGAGAAGCTGGAGATGTTCGCGGCTGAGCTGATCAAGGAGCAGGACCGGCGGCAGCGGAACGCCGCCCCGACGGTGGTGATCAAGCCCTCCATGACGCCCGCCCGGTCCTCCTCCTCCACCTTCACCACCATGGCCTCCACCGTCACCTCCGCGTCCTTGTGACGCTGGCGGGAAGGAACGGACGGCCAGGATATCAAGAGAGGGATCGTGGTTGATGATGATCGGTCCCACCTCTTATGTACATGTATTTTAGGCTGTTTTCTGGTTTTACTTTTGTGTGTGGGGGTGGGGGGAAGCACTACTACTAATTTTTGTTGTCTATTCACCCCCCCCCCCTCTACTGCGAGTGAAGTTACCTCCCACAGTAACCTCAAATTACGTGTCTTAGAGTCCAGCGTGAGAGTTGTTAACGCGTCACTGGGAATGAATCTGCTCTAAATTATTTGATGTCATTGGTGCCCGAATATACATACTGATAATAAGTGGAATGATTGTTTATTACGTACGTATGATTCATCATGCTAATTTTTTTTTGTTATTATCATTAAATAAAAAAAAATGGGATTGAAGCCAGCACGACGTCAGCCGGAATTGCAGGCCTGAGTGGGTGGATACAGCTCGACCGCACCGGACGCGAATCGGTGTTCGGTCCACGTTGACCCGTAGCTCCAACCGTGTGGGCCCCGCAGCACCAGGAACGCACTCATCGGGGACGAGGGTGAAGGACGTGCCGCCCGCACGTGTGGGAGGTCTCGCCGTTGAAGGCGGAACCAAATCGGTACTATGTAGTACCAGCTGGGTATGGATCTACGTGGAATACACGAAACGTTAACCCGCTAGCACGTGTAGGCCGAGTACTGGAGCCGACAAGTTCGTCGGCCCCCACAAGACGCGTCGGCTTCTGTGGTCAAACCTTTCTACACGCAGGTCCCACGTGGACGGCATTGTGGCATTCACAGATCGACACGACCTAAATGATATTTAAGTGTACATCAGGGCAGTAATAAATATGAGGTAAATGAGGGGAAATATAGACAGAGAGACACAGGACCACAATTATCCACAGGGTTTTGGACTGAGAAAACCCACAAAAAGGACCAATGAAAGCCGATCTGAGGTCATCATGCCTTGCACTTGTTTCTGTAGCCATGGCAGACACATGCATTCACTCAGAGACACACAAGTACAGCAACCATTGATTCTCCAATGTGGTTAATGGCTTTTACATGCATATCTCAGCTGCAATAAGCCACTGAAACACTTACAAAGACACAGGCAATACATAAACTAGTAGGAACACCCAATCTGAACGATAGTAGTGGCCTCCAGAGTCGGCACAAAGGACATCAAGCATGTCTGTACCAGTGTCGAGCTATTGTCCACATTGCTGATACAGGAGTTCGAAGCAGCAATCTCTTGCATTCCACCGTCATCATCTGTTGTCGGCTACCTGCATTTCATCACTAGTCACCATGATTGTTGGATATTCTTTTGAAAACTACAAAAATACAGCAGTAAAAACGTTGGTTTCATCAAACCTGTCAAGTCTCTAGAATTCACCTCATCACTACTCAGCTCCCATCCAAAGATTTTAAATGATTTCATATCCACCAATAATCTATAGTTGTCAGCAACGATATGAAAAAGGTGGTCCATGGCATGGATTGGTTACTGCATTCAATGTGGGTGGGTGGAAAGTGTGCAAGAGGGACAAACTTAAAGCTACCAACAGATGATGGCTGACTGCTGCTTTCCATTATTTGTAGATCTACAATTATTACAGTGGCACCAAATGCATGAAACCAGTTGACATAGTGGTGGAATGAAAAAGGCACATTCTATGTGATGCTGGGTTTGTACCAGGAGATATTTAATTTCCTGAGTTGAAGCCCCCACTCAAGCTTTCACATCTACACCTACAAGCCTCTCAACTATGGAAGATGCTCCCATTCTACTTTCTACAAATTGCCCTGGTGGCTGTTTGAAATTTAAATATTTAAATCCTGTAGCTGTTTCTCTCAGATTCTTTCTGGGTTTGTTCTTCCTTTTGCCTTTTACCACCACAAGTCTGGAAGTAGGTTTTCTTAGTGGTCCTCTCCTGGTTCAATTCTGGCTCAGAGGACCACCAATGACTTCACTCTATTGAGGCATGTGATTGATATCAAGAGATGACAAATGAGATAAAAAGGTAATAAGAACTTGATCCCTCTGTTTTTTTTTCCTCCTCTCCTTACATACTGCAAAAAATGAAACAGAGAAAAATGATGCAGGACATGCAATGTTTTTTAAATGAGCAACATGAAGGCTTGAGAAATCAGTGCACCACAGACCTGTCTATGGGACCCTAAAGGAGTCATTTCATGAGCCCATAGGTGCAATGACCTTTAGATCCAGTGCAAAAAGATAACCAAGTCAAGAATATGCCCCCATCTTTCTGAATTCTGGTTGCCAACATCCAGCAGCTCCCACCTAGGCAAAGACTAACTGAGCTCCAGGGGCATCAAGACTAATCTGCTTATCTTTTTACATGATTCAATCATAAGAAATTCTGGAATGAATGAAAAAAGCTTAGTAAAACCTCCCTCGAATCTGTCTTTTTTTTTTTTTTCTGAAACGGGCAACAATTTCTGAGACAGTTCAAAAGACAGATGAAGCCAATAATTAGTATTCAGGAAGTCATAACAATTCTAATTCTTCACAAGATTAACTCTAGTATGTTTTTCCATTCCTTTTCTCTACAAATCAACTCTATTATCTTGGGCTCTCAATGAAATTGGAACAAGAACTTCAAAGGAAGGAAAATATAATGTATCTTTACACTGTATAATCTTAGGTCAATCTGGCAAAGGTAGATAACATGCAGCAGCTTTAAACTGACATTTCTCATCTCACAAGTGACTCATCCAGAAGGAGCCATCCAAAGAAAGAAGATGAAAAGTGAAAAGAAAGCACACAATGAGGAGAGAGAAGGAAGTCCAACCAAAAGCTGTCTCCATGTTCATCTAAGATGATTTAAGTGGGGCACAAGGGCAGTACATATTTTGATTTTAAACCAGAAAAATCTGACACTCAGATCAGTGTTCATGTGGGTCAGCAGGAGAAGAGTGCTTCTATTCTGGGTAAACAGATTGTCATACTTCCAACAATCACTCTCATTTTCCAATAAGGCCAAAACTATTTCCAAGAATTCAAGCTTTGTATTCTGAAGAATGACCTTAGGCCATTTGTTAATCTAAGTTAACCTAATCCAATGCATAAGACTCTCATCATTGTTACAATGACATTTGCATTTCTCTAAGCTATTGAAACATCACACATCTGCTAGGCCAATTATCATTTAAATACACGTGCCATTGTCCAACAAACATAGAATCACAATCAAATCAGCCTAGTTTGTACAATAGCAACTAAATACTTGAAAAAAATCAACACCTCCTATGCACCTGTTGGATTAAAGAGTTTGGAGGACTAGTTCAAGATGTCTTTTTCACACGCACCAGATGAATTGTTCATATATTTCATGTCTACTTACCAAAGGTTGTTTCTTTGTACCCTGTATAACTAGTGTTCCAGTCATCAACATAGCCTTTCTTGTAGTGCTAGAGCTGCATCGGCTAAGCCTCTCCAAAATCAAGCACTGTGCATTAAGCCAACCTTTTTTCTTTTCATATCTGCTTATGTAACCATCACAGGTTGAGATGTGACTCATTGCCCTCGGTAAATAGTTCAACGTTTAACCAGATGGAAGCATAAAATCTAATAGAACAACCCACTAAATAATCCTTAAAACAAATATGGCTGTGGAGCAAAGAAGGTGTTCCACGGGATGGGGAAAAAGGACCTATTAACTGCACCTGAAAGATAAGGTTTTTGAATAAGAGGTTAATCAACTTGGAGCACAGAATTTCTTTTAAATAAGAGCACAAAATTTCTTTTATCTAAATAAAGTATATTTTGAACTCATAATTCATCAGATATCTTTTATTAAATTCAGTAAAGTAAATTGAATCTGATTATTCAATCATTTTATAACGAGAATAATTTTTTACAAAGATACAATCACCAGTCAGACTCAACTAAAAATTGATATACCTTTTCTCTTTTTTCCGTCATTTAGGTGGACACTTGAATCAAAAACCACTTGCTATATTCTCTAACAAAATCACTGATCATGATCTATAGTTTTATTTTCTCATCAATCATCCAATCTCTGTTCATACTTAACTAATAAATCAAGAAGGAAAATACCTCAGTGACAAAGCTAGAATGCAGCTTTTTGGATAACTCATGAAGAGAAGGCAGAAAGTGACAACACAAAGGAACTGCCACAAAATGTTAAACTACCTAGAGCTAACTTCATAGTTAGAACTTCCAAGGACACCCTTTTAAACAGATAATTCATGGAGAAGAAATAACAGTCATGCAAAGTTTATATGGTCTTATAGTTCACTGTTGTTGATGTAAAACAACTCCCAGACACAAGATCACCCCTCAAATTGAACAAACCCAAACTAATATTAAACAATCAGGAGAGACAAGCACTTATCAGATTCTGTTAGAACACCATGTGGGTCTTTGTACATTTGAGACAAATCTATAATCATAGATATATTGCACAAAATGATAACCCATAATTACCTCACAGTGTTGGGAATGACCGAATTGTAGTGCTCGCCAAGGCCATAAGCATGCCGATGATACGATAACATTATGCTTGGGTTGCTGATACTGTTTCCTATTTCAGTCTTGTATTCTTTTCCCATCTCCACGTCAGGGAAAGAACCTGAATATATGATGATATGTTTCTTAAGGCAATGTGTAAGAGCACCCAGCTCAAGTTGTCCTCCCCAAGCTGCTGTGGACTCAACCTCTTCGCAGTACTTCTCAAATCTTTCCAGGGGTGACCTATCTGCATCAAGTTCAATTTTACTCTCAGATAGGAAAAATGGTAGAAAATCAGATGCATGGTTTCTCATGTAATTAGCAGCCATTTTTCGTAGCTCCTGGAAAACGTAGTGCGAGTTATCATTGGAGTAAAGTGAGAGCTGGTCCTCAACAGCTCGATAAAGACAATGACCATCTGGTTTTATCTCGTTGATTGTCAATCCCAGGGGCTCCAGTTTCCTCTCCAGCCTCTCATTTTCAATCATGCGATCGCTAATCATGTTGCTCTGTTCTTCCTGAATCCTCTGCTCTCTTGCAGCTTCTTCCTGAGCTCTTCTTTCTCTTCTCCTTGCCCCTTTACTGGGTTTTGCCAAGTCACTATTGCCTGTGACATTAACGCCAGCAATGGCCTTCACCAGAATGTCTAAATTATTCTTCTCTGTTCTCTCAGTTGCTTTATAGCCCAATGATGCAAGTTCTTGTGTGTGTTTAGCTTTTAGTTGGGATTGAAGACGGGATATCTCATTCTCCACCTGCTTCTTCTTGGCTTTCTGTTCAGCTTTGCTTCCTTTTGCAGCAGCTTTTTTCAGACTCATCTCTTTGCTATGGAGCTTGGTCATCTCTTGCCTGTGAAGAAGTTTAATGTCTTTTAATAATACCATTATAGGAAACTTTTGGCATTGTCTAAAGGTAAAAGATTGAATGATAGGAGATGATAAAGGAAAGCATTAGACCACGTTATTAGGGAACCATGCAAGTTTACCATTACCCACATCAATTAGTTGTAAGTTACATGAGAATATCAGTATATGATATAAGAAGGAATGAAATGATTTACAATATGAGAATGTGTACCTCACTGCTAGAAATATGATATTCCTTAATTGACAATGTTAAAGGCCTAAAGCATAAATAATATCCAGGCAAACTAAATCCTGCGTTAAGGATTCCTGCTTTTAAGTGTCCTAGATGGATCACAAAAAGTGAAGAATAACCACTAACACCTGTGAAGGGAAATGCGTTATTATCACCTTTTGATTAGGCATCATAGAGTAATTTATACAACGTTTGACACATTACAAATACCTCAGTGTGACGACTTTCTAGCCTTAAAATTTATTTACATGATAAACTATACACATCAGAGCAAGAAACTACCCTTCGATCTGAGATCACAAGTAGAACATCTCCTAAAGTAACCTTAGATTAAAAAAAAAGAACAGTAAAGGCTATCAACGGATATCCTTATAAGCAAAGTTTAAAATCTTGGTCCTATAACGGTTTTGATACTCTGTTGCATTGGTACTCACTAAAAGAAACATATGGTCCAATGTTGATCCTGCTTACAGAAAAATAATGTGTGACTTATATTGGAACTTTGCTTAAAGGTACAGCAAAACATAGGACAACTTGTATCTGAAACTTGCTTTTAAGTACAAAAAATGGAACTTAGCATTTACACAGGTGAACCCACCAGTCAAAGGAAAGTCATACATGTAGGTGCAAGTATCATCAAGTTTTGCTATGTATGTGAACAAGCATTGCACACATGGTTGGCTGAGCAACTGTTAAAGAATACTAGATGTGCTGATCAGCCATTTGAAATCCTACTACCTTAAATCGATCAAGTGTCATTGAAGACCACTTGTATATTTTAGTTGGATACATCACTAACAACCAAATATTAGATTTAACTCCAAAATAATGACGTAAGTCCACAACCATTCCAGTGCACAATGCACTAAAGAAGAATCTAGTCTTGATTTTAAGACAACAAGCTCATTCCAAATTCTCAAGTTCATTCCAAATTCTCATCCAAACACAATGCTTACATAAGTTACTGTTTTATAAGATATTTTCTTAACTTCTTTTTGTAATTAAGCATCCATTTTTTGCAATCACAATCTTTTGCAAAAGGAGAATGCAAACATTGCTTCTAGGTCGACTGGCCTTTAAATTCCGCCTTATGCTTAAACTTGATTTCTGTTTGAATTTCTGTCCACTGCCTTACCTACTGACTAAACAACCATAGATGTATGGTCATATGAGAAGTATATACAGTACACTCTTTTGTATAATACTATATCTGGATTAGTTATATCTTTTGTAGCCTGTATTTTGTAAAACTATAGGCTTCCCCAAACAAAGAAAAAAAAGCCAACAACTAAATTCCACAAAAATGAAGAATTGGATAATATTTTTGCTCAGTGAAGGTTCCGTCACAAATAGATCAAACAAAGGGCAGGACCAGTTATCAATAACTCCTTTCCAAGATTACATGGAAATTATAAAGGCAGAAGATGAAATTATCCTGTTCAGGACAACTTCCCTTTGAAGGTAAAGAAGAATTGAACTTCATTTGCTCATCTTGGAAATTAGTGCGTCAAAAATCATGCCCGAACCCAATGAGCTTACGCATGGTATTTCCATTGGATTCTGAAGGAAACTGCAACAGTAAAAGAAACTTCTGATATCATAATAATTAATATCTTCATGAGATCAGATTAAATTCAAAAGTGCAAGCACCGTAATGTTTGTCCAATTGTCTGTTTGAAAAACTTATCAATCAGATTAACTATTATTTATCCCATGGTTCTCTGTAACTAACATGTATCCATCCAAATAAAACTCATATTATTCCAGCCTTATTGTTCACTTAAACCAGCAGCAGCAACAAGTGGAGTTCAAAACAAGTTTTCAAACACTAATCAATTCTTTATGTACCTCATTGTTTCGATCATCTGGATTATACAATCGACTGTAGATGAACTATCCTAATGTGAGCTAAAATAGTAAACTATTAATCCAAAAACAGAAAATGCTAGCTTTGTCAACAGTTTTGATTAACTCAATTCTCATATCTAATGTTCAAATTGAGAAGCATCTATCCCAGTTACGTGGCTGCCTATAGGCAATGAGACTTAATTGTAGTATTAATTCTTATTAGATTTCTATAGAGACCTGGACCTAAAACATTCCTCCATCCCTCCTAATTGCTGATTGCTGATCTGACCTAAGCTACTGTCTTTAGAAAGGGAACACAAGCACGTAGCCTCGACATCTTCTTCATTAAGATGCATTAGTTGTTCACCCAAAGGATAAAATCAGAGGCATCTTTTGTACAGCCAGGTGCAACCTATATCCAGCATGATTTATAAGCAATAAAAGGTGGACCAAGACATCAGCATCATATCTTACCGAAGAAACTAAGAACCATAACCTTTCGTTTTAATACTTATGCCCACTGCCTATCAACAAAAGATGGAATACATTCGAACCTACCATTTCTTTTTAATATTTATGCCCACTGTCTATCAACAAAAGATGGAATCAAACCTCCCATGTCTTAGAAGTCTTAAGTTCTGCACAAAAGCAATTCAACCAGCAGCCAAGCCAAAGAGTCAAAACTCCACGATTAATAGAACAACAGATTCATTAAAAGGGCAAGCCAATCCTCCTGATTAGACAAAAACTAAACAGGCCAATCCTTTGGTTCGTTCACTCATGTCTCAGTCCTAACCAAGCAACGAATTAGCATCAAAATATGGTTTTCCTTCAATATTCAGCAGACAACATGAGCAAATATCTCCTCTCGACCTAAAATCCAGAACATAACGCGAATCGTACGCCAGGGGAGGGGGAAAAATTGGGCAAGGCAAATAAAAATCGGAAGTATTACCGGTGTCTAGAGAGCATCTCTTCGAGAGCTTCCTGTGGTTCTTCCTTCGAAGCGCTTCCCTCCGCTTCTTCGGCCGCCTCCATCTTCCTCCCGTGATCGAGGCAAAGGATCGGAGGAGGGAGGAGAGCTCTCGAACTCTGTGGAGAGCGGATTTAGCTCACGTGGGGCGATCGCTCCGCAGCCCTAAAAGCCTCTTTGTCGGACCTTTCGATATAGATCGGGCCTCATGAAGCCCATTAGCGTTTAAGCCTCTTATAGAGTTCGGCCCATACACTAATTAGTTAATTTGCTTACCACTCAACAAATTCCTAATAATTATTTTTTTATTTTATTTTTCTAAATGAATATTATATGTTGAAATTTTTCGTGTAAATAAAAATATGAAGAATATTATATATTTTTATTCTTTTTATTAGCCTCCCACCATCTTTGAAACCGAATAGAAGTCAACAATATTGATGTCAGCCATGGAGACTTTGGGTTTGACATAATAGTGGCGTAAGATGTCAAAGCATCATTCTAGTCTTCATGCCTCCCCTATCATTCGTTACACTTCGCCTTTGGTCCAAATTAGCCAATTGACTTGATCAAATAATATTATATTCACCCGAATACAAATAATTTAATTGATGCAACTGTTGAAAGTACATGATTTGTCATTATTAACATTTAATGATAGAATATATATACATTACATGCGTTTGAGATTAGAACGACCCATTGACCGTTGACTATCGTAGCGCCTACCATTTGATTTGGTCAAGTCCAATGCGATGCAGCAAACCGTAACATGGTCCGCATTGCCTCGGGGTTGAACCCGGTTTGGAGTCTAATTGGGGACTCGAACCGGACGTTTCAGCCGCCTCGAGCACGTGACTCGGTCAACTGACTCGAAAGCTTTTTACAGCGGAACGCGATATATAAATAAGCGCACATTCCTTCCTTCGCTCACTCCACCTCGACCCTTCTCGGTCGACGGCAGCAGCTCTCCGGCGCCCTGGAGGACGGCGGCCTTCGGTAGCCCCACCCTGTTGCCTGCTTTCTAGGTCTGTCGATCTTCTCGGTGATTCTGGTCTCTCGACTGGCGGGGTCAAAAGGGAGTGGAGTGGGGGGCGGCGGTTTCTCGAGGCGAACGCTGGCCTGCGCAGCTACTCCGGTGACAGATCGGCTGGGTGTCTTCGTGTTCGGAGGTGACTTCTGCTTCTGGGTTTCTCGTTCTGAGTTCAAGACTGCATTTTTTTTGTTTCTTCGCCATTAAATGTTGGTTTTTTATTGGTGCACAGCTGCTTGTTTGTTTCCTTTGATAGGGATAACAAATCCGGATTTGTTTTATAGCATTGATTCAATTGGATCATCTGATTTCTTATCTGTTGTTGGCTGATTTCTTTTTTAACACAAGTTCCAAAGAGTGAAATGACATGTTTCTATTGAAAGTTGATGTTTTTGACCTCTAGCAGACTAATGGCTATGCAAAAACTTGAAGATAAATCACTTGATTTGGGTGTGGTCACCAGTTCTTTGCAGACAACAATTATCCATAAGTTCAAGAAAAACCCTTTCAGCTCAGCTTGCATAGTGTGAAACACGAGCCAGAAAGCATGGAACTCCGCAAGTCTTGATCTGAACCTCTATCCTGATCGATGTTTATTTAGTTTATGAGCTTTGATAACGATAGGAACGGATATGTTTCTTTATCTGCTTTGTCTTAAACTGATGCTGATATATTTCCCTCACTAGTTTTTACCTTTGCAGGGAACTCAGAATCCAGCATTCATCGCACACAGGAAAATCTGATAGTTTATTAATTCAAGGATGACTTGTTTCTCTTTCATATTCAGAAGGCAAAAAACTTCAAACTGGAAGCGTGGTCAAATTGATGAAGGTAGACATGCGGTGGTTTATTGTGATTTAGCTTTATGTTTCTTTGCCTTCTTATTGAAGATAATGCAGTTGGTTCATTTGTCTCTTATATTGTCAAAAGTCCATTCCACCTTTAGTTTAAGCTTTGATTCTTTTTTTTAATCAGACATTCCAAGAACCGAAAGTGTTAAAATCTACACCTACAAGGAATTGAAAAATGCAACCGATGATTTTAGCCCTGCTAACAAAATTGGACAAGGAGCTTTTGGTTCTGTATATAAGGTAACTTGCATAGACTTCATAGTTGTCTGATTCTGTTAATTTGATAAACATTCCTTATCATATATGGTGTATGATGTAGGGAAGGCTTGGAGATGGAACAGTTGTCGCTGTAAAGGTCCTCTCTGCTGAGTCAAAGCATGGAGCACAACAATTTCTGACTGAAATCACCATAATCTCTGGCATCATCCATGAGAATCTTGTCAAGCTGTTTGGTTGCTGCGTAGAAGAATCTCACAGAATACTTGTCTACAACTATCTTGAGAATAGCAGCCTCGCACAAACACTTCTTGGTACCATATTCCTTTCTTATACCATTTATTTAGTATTCGTGTATATTTAACAGCAGACAGGTCTTGCAATAAATTGAGCACATCATTATTGCTTTCTTTCAGGATCGAGCCACAGTAGCATTCAGTTCAACTGGAGAGCACGAGTCAAAATTTGTGTTGGTGTTGCTCGTGGACTTGCATTACTTCATGATGAAGTCAGGCCTCATGTCGTTCACAGAGATATTAAAGCAAGCAATATTCTTCTTGATAAGGACCTCACACCAAAAATATCTGATTTTGGTTTAGCAAAGCTTCTTCCCGCAAATATGTCTCATGTCAGCACACGAGTTGCTGGAACACTGTAGGTTCCATTGCTTTTTTTAAACTTCCTATAGTCTAGTTTTTGCTGCTTATTAGTACAATGCCGCTGGCAGCAATCTTCACATTATTTGGCTCAAGATATCACTGGCATTCTATCTTTTTTTCTTTTTCTGAAGTCTTCTGTTTCTTTCTTTGCAGCGGTTACTTAGCGCCAGAGTATGCAATTCGTGGACAAGTGACAAGGAAGTCAGATGTTTACAGCTTTGGTGTTCTTCTTCTAGAAATAGTTAGTGGCAGATGTAACACCAACACAAGGCTACCCTATGAAGATCAGTGTTTTCTGGAAAGGGTAAGGCCAATATTAATCAATTATGAACTAAAAATGGTGATTATATTGCATAAATAGCAAGTTTTCCATCATACAGTCAAGCATTTTTTGTTGCTGAAACAATGCTTTCATTGCATCAACTTCCAGTGTGTTGCAGTTGGTTTTGGAAATGATCATAATGCACTGCACACAAGTGAAACTTGATAATCATGAAGTTATGTCAATCCTGATGATAGTGAAGGACTACCAAGTTGTTTGCTTGATTGTATGCCAAATTTAATTATTTACTGTAAGTATCATAACAAAGTCAATTGCATGCCTTAACTTGGTTAATTGCTTCTGCATAATATTTCTATCCCTTTCCCTCCAATGGCAAACAATCTTAGATCCCATTTGATTTTCATGTGACAAGAAAATGCTATACTGGGAATTGAATATCCAGCGTACATTTGTCTCTATGTTATGTTGTTAAGGAATGTCCAAACAATAAACAAAGAGCGGTGTAATAAGGACGGAGGGCATATTTTGAGTACTAGATGTGTTATCCACTACCTTTGCTGGATGTGTGGAGATTCATAAACTTGTACAAGGGATCATCCCAGATTTTATGACAAGATGAAGAAATAATGAGAGGTTTATCAATTGGAGCTTAATGAATCGTATGTTTCCAGTAGCATGATAATGCCTTGCTGGAGATTAAAATACAAGGTAAATTCTATTTTTTGGCCTTAGATATGAGTATGTTTCCATATTTATGGTATATACTCATACTTGCTTTTGGTGATCCGTATCTAAGTAATCAGATTTTTTATCAACTAGATATCGTCATCTTCTGATGTTATATCTGTGCCATGTCCTACTTTATTTCCTGTGTATAATTTTAGCATTGTCCCAAAATAACTATTGCATAGGCAACAAGTCCTGGAACCTCAGTCTAGTAATGGAGGTGTTTGCAGCTCATGGACCCATGTTGACAATCATTTTGGCAAGAGCAAAATTTCAATAATGATAAATTGTGCATAATATGAAACATCCATGATCATGAGTTTAGTTTAATTATTAAAGTTAATTTAAAGATTAATTTTGCCTGGTGACGACTGCAGTCAGTAAGTTATGGTGTACCGAGGAAGAAGTTTAATGCTTTGTTTTTGCTTCTTTAGTGCCTTAATGATTCAATCCTCTATCTAATTTAGAAAAGCAATATGCTTTTTAGAAGATACACATAAAAAATAAAATGGAAAATAAATCATCCCTGTTGCCTAAAAGTGTTCTAGTTTACTGCTATCGGTTGTTTCTTTACATGCATAATAAAATGATTTGGAAACTTCAAATAAATGATCTGTTGTACTTACTTGTAGGTAAGCATAAGTTAAGAAAATAATTTCCTAACTGGATACATAATATAATAAAAAAAAATATCATGCAGTTCCTTATGTCTTTTTAGTGGTTATCCTGAATCTGGAAACATGGTTTACAAATGTGCAGTCCCCAGGCATCACAAATGGATTTTTGGTCATGCAAACGTGGTCGCTATACAAATGTGGCAAGCTGGTGAATATCATTGATATTTCTTTAACAGATGATTTAGATATTGAAGAGGCATGTAGGTTCCTGAAGATTGGACTTCTGTGCACACAAGACGCGATGACGTTTCGGCCCTCAATGTCCACTGTCATCAAGTTGCTGACTGGTGAAAAGGACGTCGACTCTGAGAAGATCGTAAAGCCTGGTATAATCGAGAATTTTATGGACCTTAAGATTAGAAACAAGGATCCAATGAATAGATCCAAGGTCATGTCATCCTTTCTACACAGCTCACCCTCGTCATCAGAGAACACCACAGATGCATCCATGACCTTTCGCAGCAATATCCGAGGACGAGACTGAAAGCCAGTGAACATAGAATTGAAAGAAAGAACTTTCAAGGTACATAATCATGTAGAAATCAATGTAATTCCCTTTTTTCCTTGAAAGAAAATCTATTTGATTCTTTATTTTTTGCATATCGTAGATTTTAGGTTCTGTATATATTCATATGGATTATGGTCAAAACAGAACTTGGATTATGCCGATGTTTAAATGGTAAAGGGAATTGTTGATTGATTTAATTAGCAAACT